TTTTTTTTTTTTTTTTTTTTTTTTTTTTTTTTTGGTCAATGATATCTTCTGTACACATGTTCTGTTGCGAATACCGATGATTGAGACGTAATTTCTAAAGTTGTCTAAATGTGCTCAAAAATTTAGGAGGAGCAAAGGTGAGATTTTTATGAATCTAAGTTTTCGAGCTTAACATCCAACTTTATTACGAGAATATTATTGCTAATACACAAGTTACCTTACTGTCAACACAGCTGTGTCTGGACTCTGGACTTTGAAGTTTGAAGACTATTTAAACAAAAGATTTTTTTTTCTCAATTACTGTAGTGCTTATTATGGTACTTTTACAACTACTTGGACCCCGTATCGCTTTGGTTGTTCTTCCTCTATGATACCCGTCGACTTTGGTGACCAGGATTTTTTGTATGAGTGCCGGGAAAAAGTTGCACAGGTCTTTTCCAACATAGTGTAAAGTGATGCTCATTGTGTGTCTTACTGAAATTACTGTCAGGGGGACTTTCAACAGAATAAGTTTTCGATAAATTTGAATATTAAACGACTTGCTATACTTTTATTTGGTTAACTTTGCCCATTTGAGGGCGTCGCTCTCTGAATGACGGTGCCAGCTGATCACGAAGCTGTCCTCAACAGCGATTCCTAAAACGGTGCCAGTTTGATGTTTATCTCACCTTTCATTATTTAAGGAGTTTTACTAAGACTTGTTCCCCAATATGGACCTCCAAGTACAGCAAATCAAAATACTTTAATTTTTGTTACCCTTATTTCGCACACTTGGCCCGAAAACTTGGGTGTAAATAACAGTGTAGCAGTAAGGTTGCTCCATGTTCAGGTTCTGTTTCAAAATCTTTATTATTAGTTCCTGGGGGAGTGAAGGTGTTCGTACTTTAACGACTCTTTGTTTTAGGTGCATACATTAACAAGTAGATGTTGGGATATGTGTTTTACGGACTACAGGCCACCAAGTAAATTAGACGGAAAGACACAAACCTGCCTGAGCAATTGCGTCAATCGAATGATTGATGCGAGCAATTTTATGGTAGAACATTTGCAGAAACTGGAAACTGGCGCTAGCAGAATTTCATAACTAATGATGGTAGCACTTAGGTACATTTATCACGATACACTTACATCTTTTTACTTTTCATCTCGTTAGCTTGGAAAGCTAAATGCTGCTGGGGATAAATCTGGTGAAGTGGCAGTTACCTGTATTATACAGTTCTTCTTTATGAAAAACAATTTTTTAGCAAAGTGGGCTTGACAAATTTTTAATCCGAATTTGTAATGAAGTTACTCGTTTTTTTATGGAGTAACTTCTCTTACTTTTTAGGGCTCATGAATTGTTTTTTGTTGCTTTATTTTATTTTTAAAGGTCTGTTTTTGATGTAGGAGGCTGTTACTGAGGTTCCGAACGTGAAGCCCGTTTTAGGAAATGGTTTTTAATTTTGCTCATTTCAGGTACTTGGAACCTAGAGCCGGAGGTAGCCTGTAGATTATTTATATTTGTATCTGAGAAATGCATTGCATTTCACTTATTGTTGTTTGTTGTCCAATTAAATGAACTTGTATTTTGTTCTGTTACGTGCAAATAAATTATTCATGTTTTTAAAAATTATATTATCAACTTGTCGCAAACTTAGAGAAGAACATACTCGGTGCCAAAAACTACGACAAAGAGGTTGTTGTGAATTGGCCCCTCCTGTTACGCTCAAAAGTTGATTTGCAAAAGAATTAAAAAGTAATATAAAAGGCATAGCTTAGTGACAACTGAGTAAAGTCCAGTCTCTTTGCACCTTCGTAGGGAGTACTTGTGGGCCACTATAAGTGCTACTGTGTCGCTAGATGCAGGGTGCGTTCTAGGACAGCACTCGCCATGTCGCCATTCTACTGACAAGAGTAAGTTACTTACATTCGTCGGGGAGACAGCTCGTTGGTAATTAGGTAATAAATGTGTTTCTTGCGAGGATCAAGAATAACAGTCAGGTGCCCCAATCTTTTCTGGTCGTAATCAGACAAAACAGTGAAACAATTGTTCTGACCTGGCTCGGTCTGCAAGCAACATATTTAGTAAGCGGCTGCCCCAGCGCCACTATTTCGTGAAGACCCATTAATTTTCAAGATTCTGTAGAACTTTGAAGACAAAGTGTTTCCACACTGAGACCTTATCGTCTGAACTAAGTTTTTCTGAACTTCCAAATATGGGTTTAAAAGTAAGCGACCTGATACTAATATTTCGTACCTCCGGACCCTTTACAAAGAAATAAATTGGAAGGAAATTGATTGTCGTTTGCGTAATATGGGCTGCGAACTATTTATGTATCATAATATGACATCTGAGCACCATCGCTACTAGGCGAAGAAGCAGTAGACGAGCACCTGAGATTACTTGATTAGCTGGTCAGCACAGAACGACTTCAGGATCAGAACCTTACCGGTTCCAAATTCTCTTCAGCGTTATTTTCTTTTCCTGTTGGTTACAAACGTCGGTTAATGTTTCAAGCCTGTCCCGACCCTTTGTTCGTCGTTGACGCCAACTTTGCTTGTAAATTTGTTCTGATATCCCTTTTGTTGAGCTTTTCTTCATCGGTTGAAATAGACGTATAACATGAATTGAATCATCAAATTCAGCCTTGTACAGACAGAACTTACTTTTTACGAGCGCCCATGTGTCACAGTTCTAGCCGCTTTAGACAACAAGACGGACTTACACCCGCAAAAACACGGAAGTAATCTAATGTTTTTTGTGGCTTGACCCCGCACCATATGGGAGGAATTACTTAACCGCCTCAAACCCTTATTCCACGCAAAAACCGCCTAGTACACGCAACTAGAAACTACCACCGCCCTCCCACTTCAAGACTCACACCTGGGCCCGCTACTGCGATAGTGACCCCGGATAATGCTACCAGTAGTACGCTGCATACATGCCAATCGTCCCGCTAACAACGGCCGGCTATAGCGCAACTGCGTGTTCTTAAAAGGCGCGAAACTTTCAAATTCAAACGTTTGAGACGTTTTAAGAGTAGACAGATAAACTGTTGCGCTTTGGACGTTTGGTCGAGATTTTTATGTCTTTGGGGGACAGATGTTGTAATCGATAAACTTAACATGAGCAGGAGTCACTTTGTGACGTTGTTTGTGAATTAGATGTTTGACAGAAACGTTAGTTTGATTTCAATATTTGTAATTTGCAGGTGGTACTAACTTGCAAACAGATTTGGTTGGCTTTCTTGCGGAAATGGATGTTAACATCTGCAAGTACTGCCAGATTGCTGCTGAGGCAGTTGCGTAAGTTTTTAGTTTTTTAAAAGGGACAGATGGTTTAATTTTCTAAAACTTGTAAATTTAGGAAACAAAATCGTAGCCTGCAGTTGGACTATGCTATTCAGTAAGTTACTGCTTTTTTTTTTTTTGTTTCATATATGATTTATAAAGAGTGTTCATAGAAGAGATATGTAGTAATCCCGATTTTATAGACATCTTGATTGGTTGGAGACGTACAGTAAAGATACGAGTGCAGTACGTTCTTTAGGAGCCAATATCATATCGTCATTTGCGAAATACCCAGATAGTCCCTTTTTCAATGATGAGCGTATTCTTCGAGTGTGTTTGACAGTTGTGAGTGATGTTGACTATCTTTTCAAGTTTGTAACTAACTCTCTGTTCGGTCTTCAATCGAATTTACATTTTCAAGGGCCGATTGAGTAGACACGTCGGACTGAAAGGTGTTATGAAACAAATCAGTGATCGTGGCCAATTTGCTCAAATGTCACAGTTTTATATACGGTGGGCAGAGGTTGGACGGAATCGCTTTTTACCAGTCATTTTCGTTTCCCCCGGAAGTGTTTCATACATTGAAAGTGAATATTTCTAGATTTTTGCAACTGAAAAGAGCAGAAGTGAATTTGAAAATATCTACCACTTGGCCATTGAACGAAAAGCAGAACCGTTGGAGACACTTGAACAAGCATTCAGGTTGCACAAATTACTTTTTTTCACTTTAGCAAGAACTTAAAAAGTCATTGATAGCTTTCACAACACTTCTTTAGACAAATGAGACTGAAACATTTTGGTACCGTAGGCGAAGTGGCTGATGAAAACACGCAAATGTTATTCGCTCCAAATATTCGGTCGAAGCGCATGCAAGGCCTGATATCTTTTAAGAGTCTTATTTGGTTTATTTAGCCGATTTGCTCTTTTATTCCGTTGCGTTAACACGAGCTAAACAGAAAATTTTCAGAAAATAAAGAAAATGTTAATGTACAGCCGTCGTTCGCGCTTGGCGGCACTTCGTTTACTCAAAATTTTTACTCAAAAGCTATGCAAGATTTTTCAAACACTTTACCAGTTGCTCCTCCTCGGACAAATGGTTATTACTTCTTGTATCTCGTTTTGAAATTCTTTTTATAAATTTTTTGTCTTTACGCTCTGATTCATGTAGTTGCAGTACAAGAATGTTCCAAAGTTGAGATGGAAGAGGATGCAACACTAACGACTGGAAATCCCGGTGCTAAAAACTTTCAAGTCTATGTAGATGAGGGCATGGATGTTGATCAAGGGATTGAAGATAGTGTGAAACAACCCCAAGTTATCACTAGCGAATCTACTGCACCTGACAGTCAGCAGAAACAGGGGTTTGCCGCTGATTTTGCACTTTGAAGTGAATATATTGTAGCTGAAGCCCATGTGTAGCCAACTTTAGTATCCTGTTGTACAATTAATTGTTCAAATAACATTAGAATGGATCTTTGTGGAATCAGCGGTTCTTTCCACTTTGATGTTTTTAAAAATTGTTATTTTTAGCTTTAAGGAGCTCACGCAAAGTAAAGGTGGCGATACTGTCAAGGGAAGTAGTGGTGATCGTACTGTATTTAAAAAGGTGTCTATTTTCTTTCTTTACCGTGTTTGTCGTATTGTTCTTTCCAAAAATCTAACTTTTAAAGTAGTTCTTCGCAGTCATTTAACTTGATTCTGCTTTCCAATTTCCCCTACAGTCGGACAGTGGTAATAATCTCGCGCGCCCATTATGCTCCAGCACAACGGTTTCAAAACTTGGTGCTAATGGTTCATTAAAACCTAAGATAGGTAGTGCTCATCCTGTAGGAAGTAGTCAGGGTATGACTCTTTTTTCCCTTTGCAAGGTTTTGCTCAGTTTAGTATGATATTATTTTATGGCTGAAGTGAGTGAATTGATTTTGAGGAGTTTCGCAGTTCATAGCCATCAAAGGTAGTTATTATACTAATTGTTATGAAACGTTGGTCGAAGTAAATTTTAGAAAGCTGCTTTCTTGATAACGGTGATGATGTGGTAGCCGGAAGTTACGTCTTTCAAGGCAGGGCGGGGATTGCTGCTTCGACTCCTGCAAATCCTTTGGCTCCTACTATAGAGGAGCACATGCACGGTAAGCAGTGTTGAAGTCGCTTTATGTACAGTATTTTTAAGAATTTGTAAAAGGAGATGATGGAGTTGGCTGCGTATTAGATGCATGTGGATTTAATTTTTTGCAGATTTTTCACTTCAGCAGGACTGCGCTAACTACCTTGACGTTATATTTCCAGCTAATAGGAAGAGTGGGGTTTCTGGTCAAATGACTGCATTTGAACAAATGCAACTTGTAATCTCACATCATTTTTGAGTGCTGTAAAATTGTTTTTGTGTTGATATTCAGTTTAGAACACTCAGAGTGAATTGTGGTTTTGAAGTTGCTTATTCTGTTAGGCTAAGAACGGGCTGCCTGCTACAACGGAGGTTAAGCCTGATTCTACAGCTACGAATGCGAAGCAGCCTTTAGGAGGCAGTTTGCTGAGTGCGGTTGGCGGACTAACGATTTCTGGTGAGCCTGAGGCTGAGGAGCCGACTGGACGGGGTTTGAAGTAGTATTCACAATATTTTTGATGTTTGGAGTTATGGAATTATGAATTTGGATTTAAGGCAAGGCGAACTAAGAACTTTTTTATAATTTTTCTTGTGGTTTAGATCTTTAATACAGTCTGATGTAAACCCATGGAGCGACAAAATGAGGCAGAAAATAATGATGTCACACCAGGTGTATCCAACGTATTTGCACGATTGTACTGTGAGTATATGCAGTTTGCAAATTTTAAATAATTATAATTCCGAGTTTTTCGGAAAAGTAATGCGTGTAACAGGTGAGAAGTTATAAACTGTTATTTATAAAGTAAGTTTTTACTGTGTCTCACCGTTTTGTTGAAAATAATCCATTTAAAAGGATAGAATTTATTTAAAAGATGGCTTACTTCGATTTTATGCGTCTTAGTCCGGACTGTTAATTCTGTTCATTGTTTCTTCAAATCCCATTTTGAAATTTTATATTATGCTGATCTTTTAGTCTCGTATGAAGCGTCTGTCGCCGGGAACATCTGCAATGTTTGAGGGAGAACAGTTTGATGTGTTAGAATTGATCGGTGAAGGTGGTTTTGCAAAAGTGTTCAGGTGCAACTCTGAAGACGGCAGTACTTATGCTGTTAAGGTAATTCATGCTTTCTTTAATTTTCAAGTTTGTTTTACAGGTCTGCAGTTTATAACTCTTCTGCCATTTTACATCCAATTTCTTGAAATTTTTACGTATAATAGCATAAACGTATATGCTGCAGTTGGCTTTCCTTAGGTTGAAAGTCCTTCTTGTCGTTGGGAGGTGTATGTATGTGAATTGCTTCGACTTCGGTTACCGCAATGGATGTTGTCTGGAGTTATGACAGTGCATGACGCATATGTTTACCCAAACATGAGTGCAATCGTTTATGAGTATCATGCCTTTGGAAACCTTTTGGTAGCTAGGTTTTTTCAACTTTTACTTTGTTTTATTTGGAGTATTTTACATCAACTGCTATATAAGCTTCTTTGAGGATCTCGCAAATTCGTTAAATTCTATCAAGTCTACGTCGTCGGGTCTTTTGTGCGTATATTTAAGTTGGGAGATAGCTCGCATAGTACGAGAAGTTCACAGAGCCCAAATTATCCATGCTGATCTTAAGCCAGATAATTTTATGGTTTTGCGAAAGTAATTTTTTTTTGTCTTTCGGATTACCAGTTGCATCACTGCTGAACATTTAAACTTGTTTCAGCGCAGTGGTTGCTTCATTTGTTGGGCATTCCTTGTTGATTTATGAGCAAGTTGGTGAGCCAGGTTTCGTCGTTGTTCGGAGGGTACTTGCTGTTTCACTTTTTTCTTTTTAGATTGAGTGAGAATTCAACTATCGATGAGTTGCTTGATGAAAGAAGTTTTACCATTAAATTGATTGATTGGGGCAGGGCGATCGATATGTCTGCTTTAAAAGGTCAAACTTTTACTGGCAGGGCTGGGACGGAATGTTTTGACTGCTTTGAGATGATGGTAAAATCCCTAGTTTACGTATTTCTTTCTCGTTTATTTTCGTTCTACTTTCTCTTTCGTATAATATGTTTTTTGTAGGATGGGCGTCCATGGACTTATCAGATTGATTTCTTCGGCTTTATTGCTACTATGCATGTTCTTCTTTTTGGGTCTTACATGAAAACAATGAGAAATGAAGAGACTAGGAAATATTCTATGCTTTCTGTAATTAGGAGGTAAGTTCCCCATTGAAAAAGAAAACCCACTTTATTTTGTAAAATTGTGCTTTATTTTCAGAAGGTGTAGCCAACGTGACGTTTTGCAAGATGTATTTCAAATGTGCATGAACATTGAAGATTGTGACCATATGCCAGATTGGACTACTATTATCAATGGATTCGCTGAAAGCATTAGGTATCAGAAAGTTTTTTTGCCTATCGAGTTTTGATATCTGTTTGTTTTGAGGTTGTTGGGGAATTGCCGTAAATTTTTTCATTTTACCTTTCTTGGGGAGTTTTGTATTGTTCGTTTCTTTTTAATGAATTATTTAGATATGCACTAAATAATAACCGGATGGAGTGGAAAATCTGCGCTCGGGAGTTCAATGAAGCAGTCAGTAGAAGATGTTTGAAGAAATAATTGATCTTTTTGTTTAATAAGTAGTGAAATTCGTAACTTGTACTTAAATGCTTCTTTTTACATATCTGAAACAGGAACTAAAACCACGGTCAAAACAAATACTTTTATTTTCTAAAACGGTAACTTAATTATGGATTAGGGTATTTGTTTTGGCAATGGTTTGAATTAAGGGTTAAAATTTGTTTGTAAGTTTGTTAGAAAGTCACCTTTTTTTGGCGCAGGTCGCCGACTTCTGTTTTCGTTATCAAAGCGACTTCAACATTTGCTTCTGTTAATTGGCGATTTTAAAGTTTAGTGCTTTTCAATTGCTGTTTTAAGTTTTCACTGTCTCATTTATATGGCCAAGCAGCCTCGTTCCATCTACAAATATAGGCATCGCGCATTTTCCCAATAATGTAAATTAGTATTCCGGCACTATTTGGAGCCTGCTCTTTGGTTTGATGCAGAGATCTTGTACAGGGACGGGGTGTTTCTGATCATCTTTTTTTTTTTTCCTTAGGGACCGTGAAAGCGGTAGAACTAAGCTAACTTTTTGTCGCGGCTTTGCAGTCGTTAGGACAAGGAACGTTTATCATTTGTGGTAGAGCGTTCAAATTCTTTGGAGTTTTGCCGTACTTGATGTTATTCTTGATTTCAGAACCAGTGGGGTGGCGCCTCCGAAGAGAGAAGTGCCGGAACAGGTTGCTGCATTGCAGTTCTTGAATTTGCCTTTCTGTTCTTTTAGCAATTTAACGGTGTATTTTCATCTCAATGTAAATTTCTCACCAAAGTACAGAGGTAAATCCCGTACCAAATGTCTTTGAAAAAAGAAAGCAGGTTTGGGGTTTTTTGGGTCTTGCTGTAGGGGGAACATTAAATTCATGCGGTAATGAGACATTAAAGGAATATAGTATGTATAGGAAGTAAAGGAAACTTTTGTAAAACTTCTTGAAAGTCTTTAATTCACCACAGGGTAATTGATATAGGAGGTAAATTCTTGGTTATCTAAACAGTAACTGACCAGAAGTATGCAGGGGAGATGTTTAGGAGAATTGCGTATTTGTTGAAAACTCTGGGTTTCTAAACAGCACTGTAACATTCACTAAAATTATTGAGGAACGGTTGGATGTCTTACAAGCACATACTCAACTCAGGAAGCTTGTAGACGCGAATGATGAAGAAGAGTTTAAGGATGTTGCTCTACAAAGCTGCAAGTGCTACAGGTCTGGGGGAGGTTTTTTAATTAATGACAAGATTTGATCCTCTGTGACAATGAAGAACAAGCAAGATTGCAGTCCACTAACTGTCTGTTGTCTATAAGTTTACCAAAAATGGATTACAGCAGGGCAACTGTGATACTTTGGTGATTGCAGGCTAAGCCTAAATGATAAAATTCTTTGGTAGCGGTTACTGCAGTAGTGGTGGTTCTGAGTAGAACGAGAAGAATATATTGGTTACTAAAAATCAATCTCTCTAATCTATTTTGAGAAGCAGCGAGAGGAGTGAAGCATTTCCATGTTTGTCGAGGTAATCTGAAACTTTTCTTGGTACGGTACAATGTTGAGGGGATTTTTGCTTGGTACAGATTGTTCTAAGGTTATTCTTCAGATATGGTTCTTGAAAAACTTTCGCTGTTTAGCACTGACAAAATTTGTTGCTTTTTTCTATTATGTGGCTTGATTATTTCTTTTATTCTTTCATCTTTTTTGCTCGTGCACAGCAGTGTTGTCTCTTTCAGTTTAATTCTCTTCTAGCTATTCGCTTCGTTTTTGAAATTGAAGATGGAATAGGGATTTACTGTCTGCTTACGAGTATTTTGGGGGACGTTCTGCATAGTTTCAAAATTCATTTTAACTTGTCTCCGTTATATATGACTTTGGTTACGTTGTGAAGATTTACAGATGGAAACGATTTGAATTTTTTTTTTTGAACTGATATTTACGATTACTGTTTAGTATTATTTTCTGATGGAATGACTAGAAGTTGAAGAAAAATTATTATTACACAATTAAACAAAAAATCTTTGAAATTTTTTTGAGTACGTCAATGCAGATAAATTTATAGTTTAGGGGAAGACCAGTGTCTGCTTGCTTTTCAGGGAAAGGTTTAGTCATTTTGGTCGTTTTGCGGTTAAATTACTGATAAGTGAAATGAGTTCAGAACTACTCTTCTGGGGCTCTTATATTCTTGTTTTAAGTTTCATCATTTCTGTTGCTTATATTTTTGAAAAGTCATTGTGTAATTCAAATGGTTACTGGTGCCGTAGTAGCCGTCGTTGCTCTGATACTGCCTTACAGGTTTGTTGTTATGTCAAAATTACGTGTATCGTGATTGCCTTCAAAATTTATCGAAGACTGGATTGTGCAAAATTTTTAGAGTTAGGCTTAGAGTAAGGTAAGATAGTCATAGGTTTGTTGTTCTGTCAAAATTACGTGTATCGTGATTGCCTTCAAAATTTATCGAAGACTGGATTGTGCAAAATTTTTAGAGTTAGGCTTAGAGTAAGATAAGATAGTTATGTGTTATAGAAGTTGTGAACTTTTTTTTTTTCTGTAAAAAGGAAGAAAATTTGTGTCATTTACATTCCAAGTAAAAATTTTACAAATCATTTTAAAAGTAAAAAAAAAAAAACATAACAAAAATATAGTGTTACGGAGAAACAGAAAATGGATTCTTTTAAACATTGCATTTTAAATATGCTAATTTAAAGAGGTTAAGAGGGTGAGATTTGTAAATTGGCTATTATTCATAGATTAATTAAACAGAATTTAATCTGTAAGTTAAAAAACGTGTGTACTTTGGGCTTTGCAGCTTTTTGCCTACTGTTTCAAATGATTATGAGACTGCTGCTTTTGTGAATTGTTTTCCGTCTACATTTTCTGGTTGGTGTGTTTTTAAAATGTGTTACAAATTACTTAAGCAATTGTTTCTCGCTGGGTAAGAAAGATGGCAAGTTGATATTTGGGCTTGATCGTAATCTAGCTGACGTTAAGCTTCTTAAATCAAATACAGCCAATAAACAGCAACAGGAATGCTGTTTTTTTTCAATGCTTCTTAAAATTGTTTTGCTTTTTATTAATAGACAAATTAAATACCATTATTTGCTTCCTCTTTTATTTTCTCAGACAAGTTGTAGTTGGAAGTATATCACGAGAGTTTGTCTTGTTAGTAAGTATTACTTTACTTAACTTTTAGTGTATCAGCTGATAAGCTGGTATTAGATTAGCAAAGTTCATTGTTGAATGTTTTTCTTTGGAATTAAACATTTCCGTCATCTAGAAGATATCTGTGGTAATGCAACACAAACCCTCATTAAGTTACAGAAAACAACAAACTTTCGCAAATGTGAATAGAAAGCGAAAGAGCGTGTAATTTTCTGAACTGTAAATCAATGATGCTCTTTCAAAAGTTATTGTTTTTAATAGCGTTACTGTTGTTTATATATCTTCTTTAATTCTATTTTTTACTATTTATTTATTTATTTATTTTTTTGCTTTTTATTGCGATTTAAAATCATTTACGAAGAGCAAAAAAAAAAAAAAAAAGACGAACTGTTGATGAATTTGGGAAAGCTTTGATGCAATCAGAGAGCACTTAACACTGACCTTGCAGGAACAGGTTTTAATAGAACTTTTATAAGATTTCTGTTTGGCGTTACAATTAGTGTTATTAAATTGGTTCTTTGAAAAAAAATCTTTTTTTAAACTACTTTTACATGATGGTGAAAGATATTTAACATTCTTATGTTTTGGTGTTGTAACGATGGGATAAAACAAATGCTTTATAGACGTGAAGACTATAATTTTTTAACTGATTAGCAATGACTCTCATTTTGCAACTTTTCTACATTATTTGACTTAAGTCAAAAAAAGTTAGATTTTAACACTTTTTTTTTTACTGTTGTGACAGTTTTGATGGCTGATTTTGATTTTCAGAGGAGAGAAGTGCAAGAGTTATACCGACTTTTTTCAGTTGGTTTAAACATTTCTACGGGGTCGCTGGAAAATTTTTTTGCTTCTGTTCGTTGCACACTGTTATTAACGGACATAGAAGTGAATTTTTAATGTTTTAGACGGGACTGCTGTAAAAATGTTTAAGACACTATGTCTAAACTCGAATCAAGCAGTTAGCCAGGGGGAAGCCGGAAACATCGATGGTGTGACATTTGTAGCATACGACACTTCAAATCATTGTTGCAAAGGTCTGAAACTATTTTACGTTATTAGTCGATATCGTCCTCTCTAAGGTAGGGTCATTTTAGGAAGTCAGGTCGTCATTTAATGATTTTTATTTGTTATTTATAAAATTACTGGTAACAGTAGTGTCGTTCTGAGTATCTAAATTTGGAACGAGCAATTCAGATGATTTTTCTTTAGATTTGTCTAATGAGCTGTGCTAATTTGTCTGACCAAAAAATAATGTTTAAACAATTTTTTCTCACTTTAATATTATTATTTTTTGTTCTTTTATTTTTCATCAATACATTTTTTTTAAATCGAGCATCACCAAAGCAAGGGAAAGAAATTAGATTTTTTTTAACTGACCAATGTTTGGCTACCTAAATTGCTGTTATCGAAATTGACTTGTGAAAAATATGGGAAAAAAATTGAAGAAGAATACATAAATAAATGTTTTTTTTCTGCTTAATCGGCTATACAAACAATAGTGTTTTTTTGAACATTTGAACGGATAGTAAAATGATTGAAATTTAGAGTCTAAAATACACTGGCTCTCCTTGCCTGCTGTTATTGTTGTTATCGAGGAGGGATTTTTTTAAGGTTTGCAAATAAAAAATTGTTGTTTTATTTTTAGAAACAATGAAGAAAATGAATGAAATATAGTTTTATCGTTTTAATTGAACTAAGCGAAAAGGAGAGCAGAGAATGCTGTTTCTTTTTTTTTTCGTTTAAATTGGATAAAAATGGAATAAATTTTAGCTATTGCATATAGTGGTAGTAATCGGATACGCTACGGAATGATGAGGCTTTCACTACATTTTTGGCCTGGCGGCGTGCTGGTGA